GGGGGGAGGCAGGGGGGAGGCAGGGGGGAGCAGGGGGGAGCAGGGGAGAGCAGGGGGGAGAGGCGAGAGGGACCAATATGACTGGCGACATGGGCGGCAGTCCGGGTGCTAGCAAGGGGGATATGGAGGATAAAGACATGGGAAAAGTCGGTGAGGGGCAAGTAAAAGGTGGAGGGTATGTGGTGTGTAAAGGGCGTACCTTGACAAGCACTTCTTCGTTGGTACCCGACATGGTTGCCCCGACGCAAGGCCAAGTCTTTCACCGCGTCTCAACGAACGCGCGTTTGAGTCGAGTGACCGATACCCAACGACTCTCTCGGTTGCCGGCCGAGCACCCGATCTGCTAGCACAACGGTTTGAGATGTCCTCACAAACACTGCGCTGGCCATTGTCGCCAGCATATTGGGTTGATTGGCAAGGTGACCCGTGTGTACATGAGTGCCCATCGTAAGCTCGCGTGCTCCCGAGATCAATGCAAGAAATTGGCGTAATCAGAGTGGGATGGGTCAGTCGGTCGGTCTCCGATCCTCCAGAGCCGATTGTGTCGATGCCATTGGAGCTCTCATCGAAGTATGGCTTTGCTTCGCTCAGCCTGCTGCGAGTGCTAGCGACTCGGTGCCGTTGCTCTCCCATCATGGATGGCGGATTAATCAAGGCATGACGTGAGACTAATCATAGCTACCAAATCTTTACCATTCCTCTCAACTTTAATCGTTGGTCATGGTACGAGTTCCAATTGCGAGTCTGAGGCATTTCCATTGGTTAGATGATGAGGTGGTGGGAGAGGGGAAGGAGGGGGGGAAGGAGGGGAGGAGGAAGGGGGGAAGGGGGGGAGAGGGCAAAGACAACAAACAACTAACACAACATCACTACGTTATGGTATCTCTTTGATATACCTTGGTCAGTCTGCGTTTGAGAAGCTTGGAGTCTGCCCAGAAATCATCGCCGCCGTAGAGGAACTTGGCTGGCAGCTGCCCACCCCTGTTCAGAACGAAGCTATTCCGCTCATTCTTGGAGGTGGTGACGTATTGGCTGCCGCAGAGACAGGGACGGGCAAGACTGGTGCCTTTGCTCTGCCTGTCGTTCAAATTGTCCATGAGACGCTCTCAGACCAAGTCTCTCTCGGTCGCTCTGCCGCCTCGGCTCCCAGCTCAGCCGCCAGCTCGGCCGCGAGTTCGTCCTCGACTGAGAGTGTTGTGCTCTCGACCCAAGATCGTGATCTGACGTGTGCCATTGCTGACAACGGGCTGACGGTTCAGTCGCGGGCGGCGTACAATTGGGCAGGGGCGAGGGCGAGCTGTGGCTTTGTGGATGGCGCGGTGTACTTTGAGGCAAAGGTGACGGACGAGGGGCTGGCCCGGGTCGGGCTGGCGACAGAGACCGCGACGCTCAACCTGGGTACGGACGCCGGCTCGTTTGGCTTTGGCGGGACGGGCAAGAAGTCGTACAAGCGCAAGTTTGAGCCGTACGGCGAGCCGTTTGGCCTCGGCGACGTCATCGGTGTCATGCTCGACAGGACTCAGCGGACGGTCGGCTTCTCCAAGAACGGCACTCTGTTTGGAACGGCGTTTGACATCCCTCCCGCGCTCGACGGCGTTGCCATCTTTCCGGCGGTCGTCCTCAAGAACGCGGAGATGGTGTTCAACTTTGGTGCGACGCCGTTTGTGCACCCGCTGCCGTCGGGCTATGTGGCGGTCGACAGCGCACCTCCGGCCTGGCGCGTCGCCGGCGGGAGTGTGGCGCCTGCCGAAGCCGAGCACGCGCCTGCTTGCCTCATTCTGGAGCCGACCCGCGAGCTGGCGGAACAGGTTGTTGAGCAGATCAACGCGTTTGGCAAGTACCTGCCCGAGCCGCAGCTCCGGACGCTCCTGTTGACCGGCGGGAGCAACGCCAAGGAGCAGGCTGCGCGGCTGCGCCGCGGGGTGGACATTGTGGTGGCGACGGCCGGGCGGGCCAAGGAGATGCTCAAGAACGGGGCGCTGAGCCTCGCCTCGACACGGTTCTTTGTCATGGACGAGGCCGACGACTTGCTCTCTGCAGGTGACACGGCGGCATTCATTCGCAGCGTGTACGCAGCGCTGCCGCTGACCCGACTCCGGGTCCAAATCATGTGCTTCTCGGCTACGCTCCACACCCCAGTCATCCGCACCCTCGCCGCAGAGCTGATGCAGCACCCGACTTGGGTCGACCTCAAGGGCCACGACTTGCTGCCGGCCACGGTCCACCATGCAGCAGTGCGGATCGACCCGCGTGTGCTCCGGGTCGACAAGTCGCGGCCGGTGTTCAAGGCCGACCGGGTCCATAAGAAGGATCGAGTGCGTGTTGGCGGGCCGACCGACGCCGACGCCTCGCACACCATCAAGCTGCTCAAAGTGCAGATCCTCGTTGATCTCATCGACACCTACGCCATGGACCAGGCCATTGTGTTCTGCAGAACCCGCCTCGACTGCGACACCGTTGCTGCCTACCTCAACAGTCTGCCGGTTGTGGCCGGCGGGCAAGCGTCGGGTGTGTCCAAGTACGCGGCGCTTGCGCTGCACTCGGGCATGAACGCGAAGCGGGCGGCCAACCTCGAAGCATTCAAGGCCGGCAGCATTCGCTTCCTCGTCTGCACCGACGTGGCGGCGCGCGGCATCGACATCTCGGGCCTCCCGTTTGTGATCAACTACACGCTGCCCGACGAGGCTGCGCAGTACGTCCACCGCGTCGGCCGCGTCGGTCGCGCCGACACCCTCGGTCTCGCCATCTCGCTCGTGGCGTCGACTAAGGAGCGTGTCTGGTTCCATACTTGCTCCTCGCGGTCGGGCAAGTGCAGCAACACTGCGCTCGTCAGCGACGGCGGCTGCACCATCTGGTACGACGAGCCGGCGCTCCTCGGTGCCATCGAGGACCTCATCGCCGAGGAAATCCAGTTCATGGACGCCCAGTACCGCCTGCCGCACCTTGACGCCGCTCCGGGCTCGATCAAGTACGGCGAAAAGGTGGACGTGGTCGAAGCGCCGTCATCGTCCGCAAAGTACATCGACGCCCTCAAGCCGACCGTCAAGACACTCGCCCAGCTTGAGCACAACGCCCAGGTCTCATTCCTCACCATGGGCGCAGAGTTTGAAGGCGTGGCACTCGCATAGCAGCATAACACCCTCCATCACACGCCGCAGTACCTCTGTGGAGAGTCCTCAGAAGCAACGCACGAAATCCGCGCATGAGACGACGACGAGAGAGCCGTGACGAGAGAGCGAAGAGACCGCGAGCGAGACGGACACGGGCACACTTGTCGCCCAAGCACACGAGTCAAGCCAGGTATAGGAACAGCAATTGAAGTCAAGGTAGACAAGCGAGTCAACGTTACGTATGTCTGGTTTGCTTGCATGTTGCGCTTTTGAAGCGGCGTCATGCTGCCTGGGAATCGGGTGTCGGTGCTGCTGTGCCCTTCTCCCCTTTGACAAATCAACCATTACGCGCGCCGTCTATCTCATCGAGTTTCTCATCGTTGCCTTTCTGGCTTGGATCGTCTCGCGATGGGGCGAGCACTTGCTCTCGAGCTTCTCTGTACTCAAGAGCACACCGGTGGCTCTCTTTGGCATTGCTGCTGCGTATCGTCTTATGTTTGCTCTGGCGGTGTATCATGGTCTTTCGCCCTTCTTTTCATCGGCCTCAAAACAAGTCGTGATCCCCGTAGTCTCCTTCATGATGGCCTGTGGTTTGGCAAGGTCATTGTTCTCGTTGGCCTTGTCATTGGCTTTTTCTACGTGCCCAACTCTTCTCTGGCCACCATTGCGTGGATGGCGCTCATCGGCTCAGCCATCTTCATTCTTCTCCAGCTCGTCCTCCTCGTCAACTTTGCCCACACCTGGAACGAGTCGTGGCTGGCCAAGTGGCGCGATGCGCCTGATGAGAGCAACGGCTGGTACTACGCCCTGCTGACTGTGACAGGTGTGGCATATCTCTTTGCGCTTGTCCTCGCCATTGTGCTCCTCGCAGAGTTCTCCGGATGTGCTACCAACGTGGTCTTTGTGGTCCTCAACGGGCTCATGGGCATGGCTGTCTCGGCGCTGTCGGTCTCGGCTGCGGTGCAGGAGGCCAATCCGGCGTCGGGCCTGCTGCAGAGCTCGATTGTGGTGGCATACTCGACATATCTGGTCTTCTCGGCCATCCTCTCGTTCCCGCCGTCCTCAGGCTGCTCCGAAGTCTCGCTCTCGCACTTTACGACCGATGCGTCGTCGGATGCACAAGACACGTCGTTTGTCTTTGGCGTCGCCTTTACCCTGCTCTCAGTCGTCTACTCGGCGCTGCGGACGTCGAGCCAGTCGGACGATATCATCAGCTCCGGTACCACCAGCCAACACCTCATCAACGACGATGCCGAGCGCGGGCAGGGCGAGGGTAGCCTGCCCGAGTTTGACGACGAGCTGGACGGTGTCAAGTACAACTACTCGTTCTTCCATTTTGTCTTTGCCTGCGCCTCGCTCTACGTCGCCATGCTCGTCTCCAACTGGGCGATCATCTCGGGTGACTCGAGCGACGTGCGGGTCAACACCGGATCGGCCGCCGCCTGGGTCAAAATCGTCTCGTCGTGGCTGGCGCTCATCCTTTACGGCTGGTCGCTCATGGCTCCTGTCTGCTTCCCGGATCGGGACTTTTCCTAACACGTGCGTATGTCACGGGTTGGCGCGCAAGAATGCGCCCGAACGTACCGCTAAGAGTTCTCAGAACATGGCGGCCTCCATCCGCCCCGATGAACTCGACGACGAGCTCGACGATGATGAGAGTGAGAGGGAAGAGAGGCCAAGTGAGTTGTCGACCTTGGCTTGCGACTGCCGCAGTTTGGCCTTGGCCCCCGACGATTTGGTCCTGGACTTGGCCTTGGCCCGCGACGAGCTGGACCTGGACTTGGCCTTGGACCTACCCTTCGACTTGGCCTTGGCCTTGGCTTTGGCCCGCGATGACCGTGTAGAGCGAGAGGAGCGCGAGCGATTGGTGTGTGTGCTGGTCTGCTTGGCAGCGGCCTGGAGCTCGTCGATGGTGTTCTGGGCGATGAGCAAGTCACAGTAGTGCTGCTCGATGACCGAGTTGCGGTCCGCGAGCTTGGCCTCGAGCTCTGTGACACGCTCCTTAGCGGCGTACCACTTTGCGACGACATCGTTAAACTCGTTGGCGCCAGCGACAAGGTCCTCCTCGACGTGGGCCTTTGCAGCCGCCTCGGCGCGGGCGAGGCGGGAAGCGTACTCGTCCTTGACAGTGAGGACGGCGAGCTCGGCATCGCGGGCGGCCTCCTGTTTGAGGATCTCCATGCGGGCCTCAAACTTGCGAGCAAGGGAGGAGGCGGTGCGCTTTTCACGGTCGAGCGAGGCCCGGAGCTCGGTGACGGTGTGCTCGGCAAGGGCAGCAGCTTCCTGCGCGGAGCTGAGTTCCGCCTTGAGGATGGATATCTGGCGCTGGGCAGCGGAGCGGATCTTGCGGGCGTCGTCGGCGGCGTTGAGAACCAGCGCCTTGCGCGACTCGTGGAGGACAGCGAGCTCGTGTTCGAGGACAGCGACCTGCTTGCGGGCGGCGGCAAGCGCTTCGCGCTGCTTGCGGCGCTCCGCAATGAGGGCGTGATACTTGTCGCGAAGCTCGGTGCTCGCCTGCGGCGAGGCGAGGAGCGAGCGCGGTGGAGCTGAGTTTTCGTCGCGGAGAGTGGCGAGCGCTGCGGCGAGATCCTCGATTTCGGCTGACTGCGCCGCCACCTGGCTCCGCAGCGCCTTCTGGTTGGACGCCGAGTCGTTGGCGACAGCCTTCCACCGCGCGATCTCGGCCTCCAGAGCCTCGAGATCGCTGGCGAGCGGCGCGGGAGGTGCGGATGAAGCCCTGCGCTCCAGCAGCGCAACCTGGTGCTCAAGGTCGGCGACTTGGCCACGGAGGACGCGCGCCGCGGCGGCGTCCTCGCGTAGACTGGCATCTGCGGCGGCGTCGGCCTCGAGGCGGGCAAGCTGTGACTCGAGCTCATCGCGGCGGGCCCGGAGTTCGGCAATCTCATCACGAAGGACGTCTTGCATGGCCACGGCGTCGGCGAGCTCCTCAGAGAGAGTGGTGACGCGGGCGTCCGATGCCGCACGGGCTTGGTCGTGCTCGTCGGCGCGGAGGTTGTCGGCCGAGCTTGCCAGCTCTGCGCGGGCAGCAGCGAGGCTGGAGTTTGCAGCCTCGAGCTCGTGGGCCAGCGCCTGAGCCCGCGCCTCGCGAGTCTCCAGTAGCCGGCGCAGCTCAGCGGCGTCGGCTTCGGCAGCATAGCGGGCATCGGCGTCGGCGGATGCGGATGCCATTGCCTGCTCAAGCTCGCGCTCGAGAGCCTGCGCCTGTGCCTCGCGGGTCTCCAGCGCCGTCCGCAGCTCGATCTGCGCCGACGCCTCGTGCTCTTCAAACCGCGACTGCGACGCCGCGAGTTGCGACTTGAGCTCGTCAATCTGCGCTGCAAGCTCAGCATTCGACTCGGTCTCGCTGGCCGAGTTGGAGTGAAGCGAAGCGGCCATCGTGGTCAGGCGGGCCTCGAGCTCACTGGTCCGCGCTGCACCGGCGTTAAGCGCAGCCTCGACCTCGTTGACCCGGGCATCGGCATCGCGGGCGCGGGCACGGGCAGCGTGGAGATCCGCAAGTGCAGATTCGTGCTCCTGGGTCCAGGTGCTGATCTCTCCCTGGAGAAGCTTGTGGTGAGCCTCGGCTTCCTCAAGCTTGAGTGTGAGCTCGGCCTCGCTCGCACACGCGGTCTGAAGCTCGGCCTCGAGTTCTTGGATGCGGGTGATGGCAGTATCCAGCTCGACCTTGGCCTCAGACTCGCGGGAGCCGGTGGACTCGACCGCGGCGCGGGTGGCCGCCAGCTCGGCTTCAAGCTCCAGCTGCGAGCGCAGCGACTCGAGCTCGGCCTTGGTCTCAGCCTCGAGGGAGCCGGTGGACTCGACCGCGGCGCGGGTGGCCGCCAGCTCGGCTTCAAGCTCTTGCACGCGAGAGGTGGCAGTATCCAGCTCGACCTTGGCCTCCGCCTCGCGGCAGCTGGATGATTCGACCGCGGCGCGGGTGGCCGCCAGCTCGGCTTCAAGCTCTTGCACCCGAGAGGTGGCAGTATCCAGCTCGACCTTGGCCTCAGACTCGCGGGAGCCGGATGATTCGACCGCGGCGCGGGTGGCCGCCAGCTCGGCTTCGGCCTTAGCCAGCTGCGAGCGCAGCGACTCGAGCTCGGCCTCGACCTCTTGCACGCGAGAGGTGGCAGTATCCAGCTCGGCCTTGGCCTCCGCCTCGCGGGAGCCGGAGGACTCGACCGCGGCGCGGGTGGCCGCCAGCTCGGCTTCAAGCTCTTGCACCCGAGAGGTGGCAGTATCCAGCTCGACCTTGGCCTCAGACTCGCGAGAGCCGGATGATTCGACCGCGGTGCGGGTGGCCGCCAGCTCGGCTTCAGCCTTAGCCAGCTGCGAGCGCAGCGACTCGAGCTCGGCCTTGGTCTCAGACTCGCGGTAGCCGGATGATTCGACCGCGGCGCGGGTGGCCGCCAGCTCGGCTTCGGCCTTAGCCAGCTGCGAGCGCAGCGACTCGAGCTCGGCCTTGGCCTCCGCCTCGAGGGAGCCGGTGGACTCGACCGCGGCGCGGGTGGCCGCCAGCTCGGCTTCAAGCTCTTGCACGCGAGAGGTGGCAGTATCCAGCTCGACCTTGGTCTCAGCCTCGCGGGAGCTGGATGATTCGACCGCGGTGCGGGTGGCCGCCAGCTCGGCTTCGGCCTTAGCCAGCTGCGAGCGCAGCGACTCGAGCTCGGCCTCGACCTCTTGCACGCGAGAGGTAGCCGTCTCCAGTTCAGCCTTGGCCTCCGCCTCACGGGAGCCGGATGATTCGACCGCGGCGCGGGTGGCTGCCAGCTCGGCTTCGGCCTTAGCCAGCTGCGAGCGCAGCGACTCGAGCTCGGCCTTGGTCTCAGCCTCGCGGGAGCCGGATGATTCGACCGCGGCGCGGGTGGCCGCCAGCTCGGCTTCGGCCTTAGCCAGCTGCGAGCGCAGCGACTCGAGCTCGGCCTTGGCCTCCGCCTCGCGGGAGCCGGATGATTCGACCGCGGCGCGGGTGGCCGCCATCTCGGCTTCGGCCTTAGCCAGCTGCGAGCGCAGCGACTCGAGCTCGGCCTCGACCTCTTGCACGCGGGAGGTGGCAGTCTCAAGCTCGGCCTCGGTCACGGCTGCGCGCTCCATCTGGGCATTGGTCTCCGCCTCGCCCGTGCGTGCGGCCTTGAGCTCGGCCTCAAGCTCTTGGATTCGAGCGCCGGCATCGGCGGCACGAGCTGCTGCGGCCTCCAGCTCGGTCAGCAGCTTTGCATTCTCGGCAGTCGAGGCGTCGAGCTTGCTGCACGCGCTCTTCAACTCGGCCTCGGCCTTTGTTGCACGGTCACTGGCGTCAGCAGCGTCGGCAGCAGCCTGTGTCACGGCACGCGCTGCCTCCTCCTTGCCTGCGGCAAGTTGGGCGACGGCATCGTTGTGCGCAACCTGAGCCTCGGCCACCATGGCCTGAACAATCTTGATCTCGTCGTCCTTTCCCCGAAGCTTGGAGCGGAGCGACTTGAGCTCAGCATCGCGCTCCTCGGCCTCTTTGTTGAGCCGAGTAAGCTCCATCGTGTGCTGGTCGTTCAACAACTGCACGTTCTCCATCACAAATTTGTCCTTCTCTGCAGCCTTAGCCTTGTGCGACGCGTGCACTGCAGCCACTTCCGCCTCCATCTTGGCCTTGAGCTGCTCAATCGTCGCCTCCAACTCGGCCACTCGCTCATCCGTCGACTCGGTCTCAAACACTGTCACCATTGCACAAACACACACACACACACGCGCGCGCACGCGTCTCCATTAGTCGCCCATCCATTTCGTCGCCAAAAGCAGCAAGAGCCGGATATGGTCCGCATCCACCTCGAGCCAGCCCTGCACTTTCTCCCACAACCAGCGATCCGATAGCCAGCACCACCACCCACACCACCGCCATCACTACCAATTGATGGCCCTCTTCCACCCACACACACGCACGCAAGCACCATACGTACCTTCAGCAAGGGCCACTGATCGCCCACCATGTGAACCACCAGCCCCAACACCACCACCACCATCACCACCACCAGCACCACCAGCAGTCATTGACGATGACATTGACGTTGACATTGACGTTGACGTTGACGATGATGATGATGCACCTGCTGGCAATGCCGACGAGGTGGTAGCACTACTGCCCATGAGAGATGCAAAGAATGAATCAACTTCTTGATCGCTACTCCCACCCGCAGGAGACAGTCCATGACCTGCCCAGGAGACAGTCCATGACCTGCCCCTGCCCCTGCCCCTGCCCCTGTCGCGGTATCCCCACCACCACCGCCACCACCACTGCCTTGGCCCGGACTCTCCTGACTGGCTTGGGTAAGGAGTGATGCAAAGAAGTCGGTCGGGTCGTTGGACATGTTCCTCACACTCCTCACACTCCTCAGTGAGGTGTGTACGTAGTGGGTGGCGGTGGCGGTGGCGGGCGGTGGCGGTGGCGCCACCCCCCCCCCCCCCCCCTCCCCCTCCCCTCCTTGTGGCACTTGGCCACCGCTGACTTTGGCATCCTCGCTAGAGTGCGAGCAGCGATGAACGCGACGGCGTCTCCGACGCCAATCGCTGCTCCTCTGTCCTCCGCAACTGCCAGGCGAGATCGACACTGTCCGCCATCGCATCGCCGACGCTGACTCCAGTGGAGGCGGGACGACACCACTGACGAGATGGACGCTCGCATAGAGGCTGCCATGCAATCGCTTACCAAGTGTGTGCTGAAGCCCGTGGCTCCCGTCGAGTTTGGCGCGTACCTCCCGCTCATGCGAAGAGCGCGGCTGTAAGGTTGTTGACGAGTGCGACGACGCCGACGTCCAACCTGACTCATCCTAGCCTTTGACAAAGTCACTTCGGCCATGATTCATCAGCTACTCTGACTCGAGGTGGCTCATCGACCGTGTGGTCACGGGGTTGCAGTCAGGACTGCGGAACGGGGGCGGCGGAGGTGGCCGGCGTCCGCCAATAA